AGACAATTGTAAAAAAAATTTAAAAGAAAGATAAAATGGTCTACGGTGACCTATTTCTTTAATTAAAAAAATTATGACCTATTTTCTTAATTTGATAGTTTTTAGCCTATTTTCTTAATTTTTCCTTTAATTAAATACCTCTTTTTTAACCAGATAATCTCAGTTTTCACGACAACCCATTATGAATGAACACGATTTGGGAGTACTCTTGAGAACGTGAAGAGTTATCTGAGGAAAGGTTATATAGCCAGAGCGGAACATGTCTAAACACGATCGCGTTTGATTACACCTTTCTTTCTTAACGACAATCAATTATATGAAAGTAAAGAGTAAAATCAATTAAAATGAAAAACTTATAGAAACTGAAATTAACAATTGTAGGTAAACCCTAAAAATTGACAGGAAAAAAGAAGAATGTAAACCCTAAAAATCGAATAAGGGATGAAAAATATGCGTAGAAGAGATCGTGAATCAATGTATAGTATAACACGTTACCAAGCCGAAAAAAGATGAAGAACCGAAGAGCTCAATACATTGGTGCTATTTAACTTCTTGCTTCTTCCTCTTTGTAGCAAATAAATTTTGACCGAACACCGAGATTGAGAAACACAAAATAATGGTTTTGGAGAAAAGATTCATGAAACTATAAAGATTACGAAGGCAGAAGAAATAAGATGAAGAACTTCAGAGTTCAATACATCGATGTTATCAAACATTGAATGGTGTTTTTAAAATCGCTAGGGAAGATGAATAGTTATGAACGAAAGTGGAGACGTTTGAAGAAGGAAATTCAACATGTTTTTTTTTCTTAACCACTTGGCATCACATGGAGAGCTGACGTGGCAGAAGATGGAGATAGCCAATCCTCCTTTCATATAATAGATTTAAGATTACAAAGCGGACAAAGATTAAATTGTGTTTGGGATTTTTGGTAACTACTAGTAATAATTTTAGTACTTTATGTATAAAAAATTATTAAGTATATCTTTTGTGGAATTTGATATTTGGTTATTTTATTTATCTAAGTTTGTTGAGAAAAATATTTGTTCTAACTAGCAGTTTCATAAGTTTAATTATTTTGTTTTACAAAAACCAATCAAATTCAGCCGTTACCATT